TGTTCTACAAGAAAAACTCTTATTAAATGATTAGTTTTCAGGTTTCTGAACAATAAGTTTGCATTAATATATCATATTCCTTCGAGAGAAATCAATTAAACATTTAGTTTTCCAAGAATTTGTTGCTTTTTGTTTTCTTTCAGTTTAACATGTTATATTTCCAATGGTAGTAAATGCACATTTTTAGCTAAGCAAGTTACACTAAAGCACCTTTGGTTTGTTAAAAAATAAATAAATTATCAGGGTCCAGTCCAAGCCAGGAGTAAACAAAATGGAGACTGCTTTAAAAAGAAGGTTGTAGTTTATTGAAGAGCAGAGCCAGACAGAAAGATGGCTCTGATAAAGCTGACTACATGTTGCTGGGAGTGGTGGATTTTTATGCTTTCTTGGGCTTTTGAGGTTGTTTCCTGTTTCTGTGGCATGAGTTTTGACCTGAGGTTCAGTGTGCCTTTCTGATATTCTGATGGTGGTGGGTTTATCCTATTAGGTCCAAAATCTTGGGCCCATAACTCCTGTGGAACTGAAATCTGGCAAATTTTATAAAACGGTTTAACACAGCAATTATCATAAACAGTTTATGACAATGATGGTGAACCTTTTAGAGACTGAGTGCCCAAAACCCGGCCCCACCGCCCGCCCTGTCACCCCCGCCGTACCCACCCGCAGGGCCACTCACCGCCTCCATGGCCCGCCACAGATTGCCCACACAGCCCAGCAGCACCATGGTGGCCACACTGTCCACCTGTGCCCCACAGCATCAACTGCAGGTGATGGGGCACGAAGGCAGAGTCTTGTCCCCACTGCCTGGCTGCCACATCCTTGGCTGCACTTGGGGGCGACTCTCCTCCAGGAGTGCTGCTGGTAAGGAGGGAGCCATGGGGGGAGGTGGGGCTGAGGTGACAGCACATGTGCCCACAGAGAGGGCTCCACCACCACTGGTTTATGACATAATAAAAAATGTCCTGTGTCCTGTGCTGATATTTGTGCTATACAGTACAGTCCAACACGGGCTATTTTCAAGGCAGATATATCTTTGAATGTGTCCCAGTTTTTCCACTGAAGGCAGCATGTTAGAAGCTCTGTCATTGTTAAAGACATTGAGGAATCTGGTAAGGAAATAACTCTGAGCCATGCCTGACAACTGACTATGCTTATACATAAACCATAGGTCAGACATCATGAGTTTTCCCATGACGAGTGAGACAGGATTTGATCCATACAAGATTAATAATGAAACATGTGACAAATGCTCATTTGGAGGCATCCATGAGCATTAGACTCAACCTCCATTGCCACACCACTTTCTTGAAGTTTAACTTTGAAGGTTCTAATGATTATTCCAATTGGGAGAAATGAACAGTGAGAGAGAAGGAAAATTAAACAACCTTAAAGATGCACAGATCTTTTGTACAGGTTTTTTGTACAATTGTACAGGTGGTTCTCTCATGAGGCGTGGGGGATAAAAACCCCGTATTGTCAAAATGTGAAGGGATTTAGAATGATAAAATGTCAGAATTGGAAGGGATCTTAGAGATCTAGTCCAACTCCCTGTCCAGTAAGGAATCTTCAACTACAGCTATTATGTACACAATGCCAGTATTTATAATAGCCTGGGTGGCGGCAGGTGGTTGTTGTTGGTACTTAGCTGGAAGACTATTAATTGACATATTTTTTTCCAAAATGCCCATGTGACCCTTAGGAGTGATGATCTGTGCAATCATGTTACCAACATATAAAGTTTATCATCCATATTAATTTATAGTTATCTTGTTCATATATATCTTTTGCCATATATTTTTTGTGATAGTAAGAATGTGTAAAGGAATGAAGAGATGACTGCAAAAGGGAAGAAATGTTAAGGGAGATAAAACAGCAACGTAATTTTTGGGACAGTGGAAAGCATGAGAAAGAAACACAAAACAGCGTCCACTTGGTTCTGTTTGATATAAGATGAGGCACACAGAAATTCTGACAGGTTCTCAAGATTCTGTTATGATACTCTATAATAATAAAGTAGCTTTTCTGGATTCCTTGTGATGCCAAGTTCCTGATCTGGCCTGTCTTGAAGTATTGACCAAATACATGAAACCCAGTCAAAGTAGACCAGAGAGTTAAAACAACATGTTTTGGAGGATTTCAGCTTATACAGTATATGGAAAAATACCAGAAGACTTAACAAAGGATAGTTCTTAGAAAACAGTACCCAAAACATGTTTCTCAAGATAAGAGATGGATCCTATCTGGATGAAGTGATGGCACTCAAGTTGAAAGTGCTGATAGGAATGAGAAGCACAAACTATGACCAAGCCTTCTCAGAAGTTATAAAAGGGACAAAATTCTAGTATTTTGAAGGCATCAAATCTTCTGAAACTCAAGTTTTGTCTGCTGTTTATATTGAGTTGTGTAAGGATGTACATGTGTACATATACTGCATGTGAATGTATGAGGCAGTGAACACATAAGCATCGACAAGGGGAGCAAGGAGGAGCAATTATTTTATTTTTATAGCCATGGACTTCATTATGCGACTGCACATTAATGCAAATTATACAATTTATGATGTGTCGTGACATCATGTGATGTTATGGCTTCTGCCAGATACCTGCCACTGATCAATAGCGCTGGAGGATGCAACAACAAGATTTTGTTGATGCTGACTTTATGATGATGGAATGTACAGTTCTTGACCTTTGAGCATGTAAGTTGTAAAAGATAAGACTTAGCTCATACGCCACTGCACCTATTTCATCCGGTTTTCCAGTACTTTTCCAAAACACATATTGATTCTAATTTTCAGCTTAAGTTTGGGAGGAAGGAGAGAATCTTCAATAACGACCATGTAAAGGAAAATAGGCTGAAAAGACTGTGATCAGTCCAAGGTCATCCAAAGATTTTAGTGGTCATCTGGGTCATTTCTGGATGAACCGTACCCCAGGGGTCCCCAACCTTTCTGGGTTGGCGGCCTGGGCTGGAGGTACCCTTACATGTGTGAGCATGTGCACATGCAAATGGGGCTGTGTGTGCACAAACAGGGCCGTGATTCCGTGTGCGATGCAAATGGGGCTATGAACACCCATGCGATGCTCGGGCGATGCTAGTGCCCATGCGATACTAGCGCGAGTGGGGATGTTGTGCTTGCAACAATGATACTGGCAAGATGTCGCAATGCTAGCGCGAGTGGGGGGTGCACTCATGGCAAGGCTAGCGCCCGCCCAACATTCAATGGCATTGCAAGCGTCCACACACCGCCACAACACTAGTGCAAGTGGGGGGCATGAGCGCACACATGCACATGTACTGGCCAGCCACTCTCACAGCCCAGTGGCCAACAGCCCACGGCCCGGTAGTGGGCCATGGACCAAAAGTTGGTGACCCCCACAATACACTACATTGGTCATTAAGTAATTTATGAGTAATACAAAACAGTACTGCTTATAATATGCAGGACAAGTACATCCTGATGCAATGATGCCTTGCCCAATTGATGCCTGCAGGTTTTGTTGGAATTACAGCTTGCAGTGTTTCCGATCAGCTGGGAAATCCAGACATTGTGGTTACAACATATCTGAAGACATCTGCTGGCTAAATGAATAAGTCAAATGCGGTACAGATTATCCTCAGATTACAACCATTTGTTTAGTGATTGTTCAATGTTCCACTGAAAAAAGTGACTCACAACCAGTCTTGTGACCATCATAACATCCGGACAATCACATGATAAAAATGTGGGTGATTGGTAACTGGCATGTATTTATGATGATTGCAGAATCCTAGGGCCATATAATTGCCATTTACAACTTTCCCAGTCAGGTTCCGACAAGCAAAGTCAATTGGGGAAAGCGGATTTACTTAATGACTGCACAATTCACTTAATAACTGTGGCAAAAATATCACAAAATGAGGCGTGACTCACTTAACAACTGCCTTGCTCAACAGTGGAAATTCTGATTCCACAGTGATTGTAAGTCAAGGGACTACAAGTATTGAGTCATCATAGGCGCAATATGGAATCAGCCATGGATTTAAGAATACGCTTAACACTTTGACATCAATTGATGAATACTAATATTTGATGTTTCAGTTCACAACTATCAACAGTAAAGAAATATGCCACAGACTAGCACTTGGTAGAGAAATCATGAAAGTCTTGGAAAAGATATTCAAATGATGATTTTCTATACTGCACTTAACAAAGATCAGAATTGTACAAGTTATGGTATCCCACTCTTCGGAAGCAAAAGTCGGATTTGAAGATATACAACAGAAAGAGTATTGATGACTCTGAATTTTGGATCAACGGATCATTCAATAAGTCAACCCAAGGTTCTCAGTCAAGGCACAAATGATCAGGCTCACATTGTCCTATTTTAGACACATTATGCAAAGACCAAGCTCCCTTGAAAAGCTTTAATGCTGGGAAAGATGGAAGGAAAAACCAGAGGATGACCAGCATCTTGCAGCGGTAAGGAAGACACCATTGGAAGACCAGATTAAGGACAGAATGTCATGGAGAAAATCTATACAGTTGCCAGGAGTCAACCATGACTTAATGGCATATCATCATCATCATCCAGAAGAGACTGTTATGGGAGGTTCCCCACCATATGAATCCATATCTAGAGACCTTATCTAGTCTTCATGGGGTGGAAGCTGCAAGAAGGTATCAGGTGACCTAAAAGATGCTCTGGCAAATGAGAAAAGAAAGAGGAAAATTGTGAGGCAGAAGAACTTTTTGAGATGAGCAGAAGGTGAGAGGCAGGTGCAAGGACAGCCCCCCCCCCCAAAGATTGGTGGGCAGGGAAGGTGGACAGAAGATGGGCAAAGGGGTGGGCGGGGCTTGAGTGCTGCCAATGAGGCAGGGGCTTGGGGGCGGGGCTCTGAAGGTGGGCGGGCCAACACGTAGGAAGGAAAGGGGAGGGGTCAAGTAGAGGAGGGACCGAAGCTGCTTCTGTGGAGGTGCTGCCCAGGTGCTGAAGGGAGGGGGGGGACGAGGGGCCCCCCGAGGGGGCAATTAGGGCACTTTTCGTGCGGCCGGAAGCGGAAGTGGCCTCATATTTCCGGCGCTCCGCGGGCGGGCGGCCATGTTGCAGGGGTGGATCGGCGCAGCGGCTTTTGCTGGGTCCCGCGGTGGCCGGTAGGTTGCGGGCTGGCGCCGCCCGGGCGCCGTGAATCCCCGACGGGGGCGCTGCAGCTGGGACTCGGCTCGAGGCGTGGCGGCTCGTGGGGGGGGGGCGCTCCTCGGCCTCGCCTTCTCCCCCTCCGGCTATGGGGTGCTCCTCCCTTCGCGCTCCCGCCTCTTCTCCCCCGCCTCTCTTCCCCGCCCTCTCCCGGCCGGTCTGCGGGTAGCCCCTGGCCGCCGCTTGCGCGGGATCTCCCCCGCCGACACACCCCTTCCCCAGCCCGGCCGCCTTCCCCGCCGCCTGGCCCCGCCCCGCCGCCCCTCTTTTGCCTTGGCATCGTCGTCCCCTCGTCCTGCTTCTTCTCCCGGCTACTTTGGCTTAGTTTTCGGGGAGGAGGGAAGCCCCATCCCCACGCCTGATCTTGTCGAGCTGATCAGCTGTCAAGACGGAGCTGGCATCCTCAAGATCTGGACTAGTTTTGGGAGATCCATCCTCTTGGCCAAGGCTGCGCTAATTCTGCTTCTGCCTTGGCCCTGCGTCTAGGCTGCTTTCTCAAAAAGAGGGAGAAAAAAGTGGTTGTCACTGGGTTTTGTAGAAGGATTTTGACTATGGTTTTGCCCCAGCTTGGGTGCACCTCTTGGATGAATTGATGTGAGTTCTTCATATATTGCTCCACACAAGTTTCATTGCCACAAAGAATAAACAATAATAACATCCCACAGGGGATACGGCGGCTATCTATATATATTTGGAATTAGACATGATTAGGGCAGAAATGCTTTTATTCTCAAGATTTTTGCTGTCTTGAATGGCAGAGATCAGATACTATTTCGAAGGCCAATATAGAAAAGGTACTGTAATAATACATTCAGAAGCAGTAGTTGCAACATTTCTAGGACTTCTTCAGTCATTTGTGGACAATACATAAGGTTGCAGTTATTTGCTTATATCTATTTCAGTATCACAACACCTGCTGCAAGACTCTGGGAATGAATTAAATATATCTTTGCTTGGAAGTATTTGTTTTTCATTCAACAGGTATGAAGTTAATTTGTGGTATACGTCTTTGAGAAAATATCCAAAGTAACTCTTAAATTTATTTTATCAAGCAAGCTTTCATCAAAAGGCAAATTATCCTCTTGTTACTGTACCATAGCTCTTAATTCATTTGGTTAATATATCATCTACTCTTTCAAAACCAACTTACATCTTTGACTGATTAATGTGAAGATCCAAAACCATTTTGTTACATTAAAAATTTGGTGGCTTTAGTTTCTCTTTGGGGTTGTGAATATTGGCCACCAGTTTTGTTACAAAGGATCATTTACTTCACATATTCACTATGGTTAATAATTAGTCTTGATTTTTAGAGTCTCTCTCCTCCCCAATCAAAGTCTTTGTAAAAACTTTTACCCATCACTAAAAGAAGTGAAGCTAAAACAAAATAAGCTGAGAGTTCTTTTAGGTTTGGTTTTCTTGTTACCCAAATTTTGGCACAACTACCCAAAGCATAAAATAAACTAATAAGTGAGCCATTTTGGTTGTAAGGAGAAGCTGGCTAGAACTTAAGATCTATTCACAAACAGGTCATAAAGCATAATGAATGTGTTGTGTGAGAACACTAAAGCTGTCTTGCATTGCAGCTTTATGCATGTTTATTTGAAAGTTACTCTGCCTGTATAAAGAAGAGCTTATTTCCTGATAAGTGTTCACAATTGTGACAACTGGGTGTGTTGCTTTGATTAACAGTTATTTCCAGCAGGACTTTTGAGTGGTACTGGATTATTTGAGTTTGAATTTGATCCTAAATGAGTGGTGTTGAGTGGTACTTTAGTGTATGATAGAGATAATTATTTGGGGTATGAGAGCGTTGGTTTTGAAAACCTTTTTATATAATGTGCTTTGTGCATCTTTGAAACAGTTATTTGAAATATTTTCTGTTTTACAAATGTGTCCAGAGACTTGTGAGAGACTTGCTTAATTTATCTTTTCATTTCATAGAAAAATTACAATGTGATGTGCAAAAATCAAATGCCTACAAATGGACCAGCTGGCTTTGATATAGAGTGACTAATACTGTATTTGGAAGAGGCATGTTTGCTTTGGGTGCACAACAGTGTTGTGTCATTATTTTTCTCCTCCCTTAGTGACTGAACATCCTAATTACATGATAGGATTGTGTCATGCTGCAGTGCTGACACTGATATGTTTTCTGTGTTCATAACATACGATATTACATGAGGAATGGAGAAAATGAACTGGGCTGAGTTATTGTTAAATCCAAATCTGGTCTCAATTGCCATCAGATTTAATAAAAAGTAGAGCTTGTACGAATTGAACCTTGTTGAATATTTAATCATTGCAATCAGTCATATTTTGGCTAATCATATTTTGGCTAGATATTATATTTTATTAGGATTGGACGACATGGTGTGCCCAAATTAAACAACTCACATAATAGTTTAAATAATAAATGAACCAGCTATCTGTTTTGATTGTTATTCATGAGCCCCTTTGGCTTTTAACATAATAGAGAGTAATTTATATTATTTTTTAACATGGTATGTTGTAATTTTTTTTTTAACATAGACTGGTGGCAAATTGTGGCCTTATCCAATTTTCCATTCACTTTTGTCCAACTATAGATGTGAATCCTTGTGCCTTTGTTCCATAGTTTACTTCAACCTTAATGGCTTATTGAATTGAGTTGTTGGGCCAACCTGTATTCTTTTGTTTTGTGTCCTAGTGTTTCAGTTTTAAAATAAAAATATGTATCTAGAATTCCTCCATGTCTGTGCTGACCAATGACTAATTATTTGTTTGTTAAATGTTTTATGACATAATACAAAATGTCATAAAACATTTCCTGTGGTCAACTACTGATGCTGGACTGTGTTATACAGTTCAACATGCTCTACTATTTGGAAGTTGCATAGTTTTTGGAAGGTGAAATTTTGCATTTATTTAACAGAGCATCATCTTTATTATTGTTTCATGAACTATAACTGAAGCCTGGCACTAAAACCTAGATTTAGAAGTCATAGGGTGTTTTTTTTTAAAAAAACTTAGTCATAGGACAGTGGTTCTCAACCTTTTTAATGCCGCGACCTCCCAATTGGTCGTAAGTCGAGGACTACTCAACCAATCGTAAGTTGAGGACTATTCAACTGGTGCAGCACCGTTTGCAGAATGGGACTTTTGGCGGGCTCAGCAGGGCGGAGACAGCCTGGACAATTTCTATTGGCTTTTGAAAGCCAATAGAATTAGACTCTATTCAAGAGAGTCTATTCTATTGGCTTTCAAAAGCAAATAAAATAAAAGGGAGTAGCACGGCTAAGAAAAAAAGGGGGGGTGGAAATGGTGGACTACATTGTTTGGCGATGCCCGTGAAATGGTCGTTCGACCCCAAATGGGGTCCTGACCCACAGGTTGAAAACCACTGTCATAGGGTGTTTTAAAAAAACCTAGTTTAAATTAAGCATTTCTTGTGTGTGATATTTCATACGCTTCAGATTTCTAAACATATCCTGGAATAACGATCTAAAAAGTGACCAAAATGAAGAAGTGTAATTTCATTTCTGCATTTAATATAACCATATATTTGTTGGGAAGCGATTGCTATGTGTGAATTTAAAACTATACTTGTTAGCCTGAATTATTTTGAAAGCACTCCTACTCCTTGTTAAATATAATCTTCTAACTAGCTGTTGGACTCATATAGCCAAAAGGAAAATATTTGTTGGTTTCAAATCACTATTTAATTTGAGGTTTTGCATTGTGAAGATCTAAGACACAGATTTATCTGAAAAAATTAAGACTGTTATTCGTCCTCTAAAATGGCAGTGACCAAGTAGTACCGGATGTGTTATATTTTGAATTTATGTGGATCAGTGTCAAGACTTAAAAGGTCTAACAAAGAGAAGAGAAATCGATGTGTTCCCTAAAGCTGAATGCATTCCAGAATCCTCTGCCACACAATACAGCATTATTTTTGGAGGCAGGTTTCTTCTTCCTGTTGTTTGGAACCCACACGCAAATCCTTAAATGCCTGTACTGCTCACCAGATCTTCTTGCTGATTTAGAAGTAGGGAACCATCCAACTGTTTTGGAACTACAGTGGTCATAATAGGTGGCCATGTTGTTTGGCTTATTACAGGGGTCTTCAAACTCGGCCCTTTTATGACTCATGGACTTCAACTCTCAGAATTCCTCAGCCAGCATGCCTTGCTGAGGAATTCTGGGAGTTGAAGTCCATGAGTCATAAAAGGGCCGAGTTTGAAGACCCCTGGCTTATTATAAAACTTTTCATCCAAAAACCTGTAAAGAATACCAGTTGATTAATCCAACAGGTAAAATGGGAAACTAATTGATACAATTTGTGAAATCCCTTACAAGTAAGCAAAGTTATTTCCATTTATGAACCCTTTGTTCAATGAGATTTCATGTAGGGCTTTCAAACATCTGAGGGGTCCTTGGTGCTCTCTAAGCTTGCTTGTTTTCTTGCAGAGGTTTTATTACCGAAATTTAGGTAACATCATTAGTGCTAGTGACGTTATCTAGGGATCTAGCACTGATGATGATACCTAGTTTGGGTAATTAAACATCTGCAAGAAAACAAGCAAGTTCAGAGAATACCAAGGACCCTTCATTTCAACCCTGAGCTACAAATAATAATAATAGTAGTAGTAGTAGTAGTAGTAGTAGTAGTAGTAGTAGTAGTAGTAGTAATGATGATGATGATGTTGGAAGGGACCTTGGAGGTCATTGAGTCCAACCCCCTGCTCAGGCAGGAAACCGTACACCAACCCCCTGCTCAGGCAGGAAACCCAACCCTCAGGTAGGCAACCCAAAACACTCAAAGAGCCACTTGGACCCGTTCCCCACCGAAAACAAAACACCGGGAGCCGCAAAACCCTTTGATATCTAAAATGAAGATAACACTGCATATATCCTTTTTTACCTTTATTATAGGTATGTGTGTGTTTGTGTCTGTGTTTGTTTGTGTGTATGTATGTATGTGTGTATGTGTATGTATGTGTGTATACACACACACACACACACACACACACATACATATACATACACACACAGGTAAAAAGGGATATATGCAGTGTTATCTTCATTTTAGATGTCAAAAGGGTCTCTCTCTCTCTCTCCCTCCCTCCCTCTCTCTCTATCTGCCCTTGGTCTGCCAGTCCTCTTCCCCCACTCTCTTTCTTTCTCTCTCTCTTTCCTCTCTCTCCCTCCCTCCCTCTCTTTCTCTCTTTCTCTCCCCCCTCTCTCCCTCTCTCCTATCTGCTGGTCACCTGGCAAGCTGGCTTCAAGCTGTTCTCCCACAAGCTCAGGGGTAGGCAATCTCGGCTCTTTTATGACTCATGGACTTCAACTCCCAGAATTCCTGAGTCAGCATAGCTGGGCTAGCTAGCTCTCTCCTGCCCTTTCTGCTTCCTGCTTCCTGCAGAGACGCAGCAAAGGGAGGAGCTCTGCCCAATAAGCTTTTCAGCTCCTCGGAGAACACTGTGAGTGTACTCTGTTTTACACACAAACACAGAGAGAGACAGAGAAACGGAGAGAGAGAGACAGAGAAGCAGGGAAGCACAATTGCCTCGCTTTGTCTCTGTCTCTCTCTGCAAATGGCAGAGGAGGCTGGGAGCCACAGGGGAAGGCTCAAAGAGCCGCATGCGGCTCTGGAGCCACAGGTTGCCGACCTGTGCCCTACACCATTTCGGACAAATGGCTGTCCAGTCTCTTCTTAAAAACTTCCAGTGTTGGAGCATTCACTGCTTCTGGAGGCAGGATCTCCTTTATTTCAAACTTCTGCTTCCACTCCACTTCCACACCTTTTCCTGAGTTTGAGTGTTGGTAGAGACATATTGTTTCTGAAAGAATAATAAACTATAGATTACAAGAAGACATTTGCTATGGTAACAAACATCTCCCAGCTAGTGCAGAACATACTTAGATGCAACATTTGGTATATTTTGAAATGAAGACAGTTCTGTAGCTGTGAAAGTACAACAAATAGTGTGATTGCCTCT